AATGACCAACATCAGCAGCGCCGCGGCGAGCATGCCGATGATCATAACGTTGGTCCAGAAACTAGCCGCCACAAGGGCATGGTCTACGAGGTTTAGCATGAGGTGTTTGTCGACTGTAGGGCCGTGGTGTTTTCTTAAGTGAGTGCTGCGACTTCTGTCTGGGGGCCATGCTTACATTTGCGTAGGCATGGATTTAAACCGACAACTACCAGGTGCCATGCCGTCGTCTTCGTTGGCATGCTTTTATTGGTCAGGTATTGGTACCCTAGCCCTCTCCCTGCGAGGAAGAATGGACTGGAAATGTTCGTTTCGATTTGTCGTAGGGCCTGCGTGTGCGAGTTATGTCACCTGTTATGCCATTCTGACAGGGAAAGTCAAGCAAAGGGGTCGTCTTCGAAGATCTCGTCGTTTCGGGTCGTAAGGGACTCGGCTCCTTCTTCCGCGTCGGCGGCAACGGGGGCGTCTTCCATTTCGTCGACTTTGGCGACAAGGATTCGATTGCCTTCCACTTCGATGACTTCAATTAAATCGCCTCGATCGGCCGCGGGGCCAATGATGATGACATCCCAGTGCTCGCCGTCGATCTCGGCCACACCGCTGGGCAAAAGGTTGCTTTTCGCGATCCCACGGCGGCCGACGAGTTCTGTATGCACGTTACTGTTTAAATCGTCCTGCGACTGTTCGGTGGCCGAATCAAGCAGGATCATGCGTCCCAGCGGCGTGTAGGGCCAAACGCGAATGGCCATGCCGATCAAAATTGGAACGGTAATGACTGTTGCAGCGAGGAACGCAGTCCCCACGGCGATGTCGCACTTCAAATAGGCGTAAATAACTGCCCCCACGAGCGCGACCGCCGCGAGAAAGCCCAGCACACCCCCGGACGGGATGAACATCTCGAGCACAATCAGCGCGAGGCCTGCGAACAGCAGGAGCAGGGCAATGATAATGGGTGACATGGTCGATCTCTCGATCTTTCCCAGGGTCGTTCCAACGTAATCGTTTTCGCGCGTCTGCTTACGACGCCGAACGAACAATGGCGTAGTTGCCGCGGACTTCCACGACGACAATCTTGTCGCCTGACTCAATCATATCACCGTCGGAGGTGACGCTCACGATCTCGTGCCCGATTTTGGCTTTGCCACTGGGCCGCAGCGCCGTCAGGGCATGCCCTGTGTTGCCGACCAGGTGCGAAAGATCGACGATTGTTTCGCGGCGGCGAATCTCTTCCATCGCCTCGTCGTCAGGAGCGTCGAGCATCGTTTGATTCAAGAACGGCGTCCGCGGCAGTACATGTTTGGCAAACAGCGCCGCGGCGATCATCCCTGAAAACAGCACCAACACGGTCGCCAGCGAGTAAGGCACCTGATCGAGTTCGTAGTCGGTCGATGGCCAGATGAATGTCTGCATCGCGAGCACGATCCCCGTGATGAACATCATC